TTTTTTTGTTCCAGCCATATTGCATTTTAGCGCTTATGAGCAATCTGGTGCTGAAATGTCTCGGTATTCTACTACTTACAATACGTTTTACTTATCCGCAAAGCATCTGTAATAATGCTCCCACTGCATCACTCAGAATCACTTGTCAGAATATCGTGAACTGGGATGAAAACACGCGAGTAAGCATAACTGTTTCCGCATACTACCAATAAAAAATTTCTTGTAGAGAGCACTCAGAATAAGTCTTTGGGACTTAGATCCACTAAATTAATACAATTTTTCTTGAAGACTTCTTAGTAATGAAAAACTGGAGTTGTAAGAGATCTAAAAACTAAATACATTCCAAAATTTACAATTTGCTAAATGTTGAAAACGAGAAAACTTTGGTAAAATCTATCTAGAACATACCGGCAACCACAAGAACAGCAGTATCGGCACCAGGGTTTCCTGGTCTGGTTGGATCTGCTGCTATCTCATCGGTTGCGACATCCACAACAGCAACCTCAGCTTATGAGTGTATGGATATCGAGTGCTTATGTGGATTTTTCGGAGGTATGTTCATGTTTCGCTTTTAAGAAGATTAATGCGGGTTCAGCTAAGATCCTGAACTACTATTACAAGAAAAGCTTGACCAACTGTTACAGTTCATAACTGGAAATTCACATTTGGGAGGTAAACGCGGGAAATGACGGTAAGGATTGAGCAATTGTCTTTCCTTCTCAGAAATCTAAACTCTTTATATGGTCTATACTCTCGTAACAGTTAGCCTTGCTTCTTCCTATCAATGTTCACCCTTGACAACTGGGATTATCGTTCTCCCTAAGGTGAAGAAAATGTAATATCTGTGTCTCTTGCCACTTTTAAAGTTTAGAAGGTCGAAATCGAAAATCATATGAGCAAACCATCATTTACTGAACAAGAATTTACAGCATTCATACAGAGGGAATTTAAAAGCCTTTCTTACTTTATTTCCATTGATTGAGATACGCATACATATCGA